AGCCCAGACACGCTGGGCAGGCCGTGTTGCAAGGATGCCAGACCACCGCATCCCCAAACAGCTCTTCTATGGTGAGCTGTCTCAAGGAAAGCGATCGCACGGGGAACAAAAGAAGTGATACAAAGACACGCTGAAAGCCTCTCTCAAGCCCCTGGTTATCGACACCACCTCCTGGGAGACACTGGCACAAGACCGATCGACATGGCGCACGCTGATCCACCAAGGCTGCCAAACTTCTGAAGCCAGAAGGACAACCATAGCACAAGAGAAGCGAGCGCTCCGTAAATCCAGAGTTGCAAACGTTGCAACAGTGGTGCCCACACATGTCTGCCTGACATGTGGCAGAACACTCCGTGCCCGTATCGGCCTTATCAGCCACCTGCGGACACACCGTGGACAGCTCACAACCCGTTAGATGTCAAGGTCCTCATCGAAAACGATGGACGAACATCATCTCCCCTCCATACCTCAGTGACGACACATCCCACCTCCTTGTTCCCATAAGCTTGCTAATTACTCGTATGTGTGATGCACAGAGACCGCAAAGAAGAAAGTCAGGTTGCCTACCTGTAACAGTCATTCTTTGAGTGGCCATCTGTGCTTACACACAACCCTCCCACCAGCCCCATGTTGGTGTTGGTGGTTCCCTACCTGCCTTTCCTCTACTGATGTCATGTCAGAGGGCAAACATCAGTCTCCAGGTGGACTGAGAAAATGGGGGGTTCCTGTCTAAGAAGGGCAGTGGGACTCCTGCCAAAAATTCTAGGCTTAGTTAGAAGAATCTCCCCAAACAGAGGCACTGCGCAGGTGCAGCACCCATATGTGTGAATGCACAGATAACCACTCAAAAACAACAGTTACAGGTAGGCAACCTGACTTTACCACTTGAATCCTTTCTGGTAAGATGTTGTTGAAATTTTACATTATAATCAAACAATACTGGGTGAAACAAAAATTCTTAAAATGTTCCCATTTTTTCCCTTTGTGAACAATGAACAGGTGCATAGAGATCACATAGCCAAAAAGGCTTTAGTATGTCAGGGCCATCGTCTGATAGGACTTGCAAAGTAAAATCAACTACGACTACCTTCCAGGAAGCGCCTCTAACACACAATCAATTTTTAGACCCCCCCCCCACCCCAAATAACAAGGCTACCTCAGCACCATGCTCCTCTCCATGGTGTCGGCATCCCGGGCGAGGGTGGCTGACTAACAGGGTAAAGGCACAGGGACCCAGGCAGGCAGGGCATGGCAGGTCCAATACACAGTCCAAAGGGCAAGCCAGAAGTCAATATACAAGCCAGGTCCATACAGAAAGGTAGCGTAGCCCAGAGCAGGCCAAGGGTCAGAGAACCAAGGAAGGCAGATCAGTCAGGGAGAGTCGGTACCTTGCAGGTCAGGGAGGAAAAAGGTGCAGGCAGCATCTGGGAGTCGCAGGAAGTAGGCGCGCAGGCAGGAAGCAGGAGTGGAGTTCCAAGTCTAGCAGATCAGGAGGGCTTCATTGCCAAGGCAGCTTCTGAGGGGAAGAGCTGGTTCTTATATAGCTCTTCCCCAGGGCTCCCAAGGTGGACTCTTGAGAGCCCTGGCAGATGCAGTGGTTGTTGCTGTGGCCAGTCGCGAAGTCATGTCCGACCCATCGCAATCCCATGGACAACATTCCTCCAGGCCTTCCTGTCCTCCGCCATCCCCCGGAGTCCACTTAAGCTCACGCCGACTGCTTGAGAGACTCCATCTAGCCACCTCATTCTCTGCCATCCCCTTCTTTTGCTGTCAATTGATCCCAGAATTAGGCTCTTCTCCAGGGAGTCCTTCCTTCTCATTAGGTGGCCAAAGTATTGGAGTTTCATCTTCAGTATCTGGCCTTCCAAAGAGCAGTCAGGGTTGATCTCCTCTAGGACTGACTGGTTTGATCATCTTGCAGTCCAAGGGACTCGAGGAGTCTCCTCCAGCACCACAATTCAAAGGCCTCAATCCTTTGGCACTCAGCCTTCCTTATGGTCCAACTTTCACAGCCATACATTGCAACTGAGAAAACCATAGCCTTGACTATACATACTTGTGTTGGCAGGGTGATGTCTCTGCTTTTTAGTATGCTGTCTAGATTTGCCATAGCTTTCCTCCCCAGGAGCAACCGTCTTTTAATTTCTTGGCTGCAGTCACCATCTGCGGTGATCTTGGAGCCCAGGAAAATAAAATCTGTCATTACCTCCATTTCTTCCCCATCTATTTGCCAGGAAGTGAGAGGACCGGATGCCATGATCTTAGTTTTCTTAATGTTGAGTTTCAAGCCAACTTTTGCACTCTCCTCCTTCACCCGCATCAAGAGGCTCTTTAGTTCCTCTTCACTTTCTGCCATTAGAGTGGGATCATCTGCATATCTGAGGTTGTTGATATTTCTCCCAGCAATCTTAATTCCAACTGATGATTCATCTAGGCCCAGCTTTCTCATGATGTGCTCTGCATAAAAGTTAAATAGGCAGGGCAACAGTATACAGCCTTGCTGAATTCCTTTCTCAATTTTGAACCAAGCAGTGGTTCCATGTCCTGTTCTCACTGTTGCGTCTTGACCTACATATAGGTTTCTCAAGAGACAAATAAGATGGCCTGGTATTCCCATCTCTTTAAGAACTTGCCAAAGTTTGTTATGATCCACACAGTCAAAGGCTTTAGCATAGTCAATGAAGCAGAAGTAGATGTTTTTCTGGAACTCCCTAGCTTTCTCCATGATCCAGTGTACGTTGGCAATTTGATCTCTAGTTCCTCTGCCTCTTTGAAATCCTGCCTGTACTTCTGGTAGTTCTTGGTCCACATACTGCTGGAGCCTCGAAAACTGACCTTTTCCAATCCTGTGGCCACTGCTGAGTTTTCCAAATTTGTTGGCATATTGAGTGTAGCACTTTTACTGCATCGTCTTTTAGGATTTTGAATAGCTCAGCTGGAATACTGTCACCTCCACTAGCTTTGTTGTTGCTCAGACTTCCTAAGACACATTTGACTTCACATTGCAGGATGTCTGACTTGAGGTCAGTGACCGCCCCATCGTGGTTATCAGGGATGTTAAGCTCTTTCTTGCATAGTTCTTCTGTGTAATCTTGTCACCTTAATCTCTTCTGCCTCTGTTAGGTCCCTGCCATATTGGTCCTTTATCATGCCCATCTTTGCATGAAACATTCCCTTCATATCTCCAATTTTATTCTAGTCTTTCCCATTCTATTGTTTTCTTCTATTTCTTTGCACTGTTCATTTAAGAAGGCATTCTTATCTCTTCTAGCTATTCTCTGGAATTCTGCATTCAATTGGGTGTATCTTTCCCTTTCTCCCTTGCCTTTCACTTCCCTTTTTTCCTCTGCTATTTGTAAAGCCTCGTCAGACAGCCATTTTGCTTTCTTGCATTTCTATTTCTTTAGGGTGGTTTTAGATTCCTGTACAATGTTGTGAACCTTCATCCAGGAACTCTGTCTATCAGATTTAATTCCTTAAATCTATTTTCACCTCCACTGTATATTCATACAGAATATGATTTACATCACACCTGAGTGGTCTAGTGATTTTCCCTGCCTGTCTTCAATTTAAGCTTGAATTTTGCAATAAGAAACTTATAATCTGAGCCACTGTCGGCTCCTGGCCTTGTTTTTACTGACTGGACAAAGCTTCTCCATCTTTGGCTGAAAAGCACATAATCAATCTGATTTTGGTGTTGATCATCTGGTGATTTCATGTGTAGAGTCACCTCTTGGGTTGTTGAAAAGAGTGTCTTTGCTATGACCAACATGTTCTCTTGAGAAAACTCTGTTATCCTTTGCCCTGCTTCATTTTATACTGCAAAGTCAAACTTGCTTGTAATTCTGATTATTTTTTTATTTCTTACTTTAGCATTCCAATCCCCCATTATGGCAAGAACATAATTTTTGGTGTTATTTCTAGAAGGTGTTGTAGGCCTTCATAGAAATGGACAACTTCAGCCTCTTCAGCACCAGTGGTTGGAGCATAGATTGGACGACTGTGATGTTGAATTGTTTGTCTTGAATTCGAACTGCGATCATTCCGTGTTTTGGAGATTGTATCCCCGTACTGCTTTTTCCACTCTTTTATTGACTATGACGGCTACTCCATTTCTTCTAAGGGATTCTTGCCCACAGTGGCATATATAATTGTAATCTGAATTAAATTCCCCCATTCCTGTCCATTACTTCACTAATTCAGTAAAGCAATAAAATAGTTAAGCCCAGCCAGCTGCTATACTTTTGGCCAGTCAACCGCAGTTGCTGTGAGATTGTCTTCCTCCTTACCAAAAAACCTAGCACCCATTTGGCAGCCATCCAAGGTGCTGTAAGAATAAGAGTAAGAGACCGAGAGTCCAAACTCATGTGCCAGTGCAGAACCCATCACTGCCCAGAAGTGGAAACTCTCTTCTCACATCAGGAAAGTGAACCAGGCTCCAGGCCCCACAAGATGCAGAAAAGCGCTGAAACTGGGGGGAAGGTTCTTCTACAGCTGGGCAATGCGTTCATTCTGCAGGGCTCACGACCCAGCCACTGGCATGTGGATTGCTCTAGAAGCTGCCAGCCACCCAACATGCCTCTTAGTTTGCCCTTTTATGCTTGGCAGGTCCAGTGCTTTAAAAGTATTCCAGAGTCCCATGCAATACAAATAGCTTTAGTTAAAGCCTGCACCATCATCTAACGTATGCAACGTATATAAGGGATGGTGAAGGATCACGTACTTTTTAGATTTACGCCTGATGAATAATTTTCCCCCGCTTACATATTTCCAGTTCAATGCATATTCATGCATTAGCAAATATTATCTCAGACCTAGAAGTTCCCCCTACTTTGACTGGATAATACACAGTTGACCAATGTACTATTTAATCCAAAGTTCTTCCAATCATTGAAACAAGGCAAGGGCAGTGATAAAACATTAACCCTGAGCAGTTTGGGACTGGGCCAAACAAATAGGATGAACAGTACATTCAAAGGCCTTCTGACCACAGAGACAGTCACAAGGTGACTTGAACAACCTTTTGATGGAAGATGTCTGCCTCACTTTGGGACCTGGTGAGTGCTAACTTCTGTTGTGCACGCTCCTCCTGGCTAATCCATCACCATTGGCTGTTGTGGTGTCAGGGACAATGCTGTCTACGGTGCATGTGCACACGCTTAGGACTTGGCTTAGTACTGGGATTCTTCAAGGGACAAGCAGGTTGGCCATAAGCATCAGATCCAAGGCTGCCTCGGGGATGTGAAGGAGTTCATGCTGCTGCATCCAATGCTCCAGCTTTGGCTCACATGTGTTCTTAGTGGATGTTATAATGGAATGGCCCACCCTGGGGACTATTTCCATAATGCTAATGAATATACCATGTCAGGCCAGTAACTGTTGGTCAATTGCTTGATGGTTTCTTAAGTCAGCTGTTTCTGTAAAGTTCTGCTCTTCTGATGAAGCCAAAAGACTATTTGCCCATTTCTAAATGGCTATGTATTCTCTCTACGATACAAATTTGTTGCATGATAACATGGACTTTCTACATGGGGCTGTTAATTTGTTGCATCAGTTTTGGAATTTGTAGCCAAAGTGAGATCTGTGCACTGTTTCCTTTCCTGCTTTTCCGTTACATACCCTAAGGGTGGCACTATAATATAGTGCTGTTAAGTGCCATCAAGTCGTCTCTGACTTATGTTGATTTTATAAATGGAAGCCCTTGAAAATGTCCTATCCATGAGAGGCCGGCTCAGCTCTTCTAAAGTAAGAGCTGTGGTTTCCTTTACAGAGTCAATCCATCTCATATTTACTTTTACTTTTCTTCTTCTGCCCTCTACTTTCCATAGCATGATTGTCTTCTCCAGGGAGTTTTCCATTCTCAGGATGTGTCCAAAGTGTGACAGCCTCAGTTTTGTTATTTTTGCTTCTAGGGAAAGCTCTTATTTGATTTGATCTAGGGTCAGTTCAGGGTATTTGAAAAAGTTCTCTTCCAGCACTATGTTTCAAATGCAAAAATATTCTTCCTGTCAGTTTTCTTCACTGTTCAACTTTCACACCCATACATAGTGATTGTATAGTGTGGATAATCTCAACCTTGGTCTCTCATGAAACATCCTTTATTATCTTTTCTGGTTCCTTCATTCCTGCTCTTCCAAGCCTCAGTGTTCTTTGACTTGGTAGGCATGTTATGAGTGGAGCCGGCTGGAGCCGGGGATCAGACTGGATGGCCCAGGAGGCCCCTTTTGACTCTCTCTGTTTCTATGTTTCTAATTTCTTGACTACAGTCTTCCTTTGAATTGATGACTGAGCCTAGAGATGTAAAATCTTTCACAATTTCAATTTCTTCATTGTTATTGATGAGTCTTCCTCCAACTTTTACTCCTTCCTCTGATTCTACTGCAGCTTTTCTTATGATACATTCCACGTAATGATAGGGAAATAAAATACACCCTTGTCTGACACCTTTGCCATGGTTAATCAGTGCAATGGTCCTATGGTCGCTGCACTCCTTTGTATCTTTTTTGTGGGGAGGGGGACTGGAATATTTATTGAACATTTCCAGTTTATGGGCCATTGCTTTGTTCTCTGTATTTGTTGGCATAGTTTTGTCAGGATTTGGACTGATTCAGTCTCTGCAGCTTGGAAAAGTTCTATTGGTGTTCTTTATAGTTTGAGTACTTTGTTACTTCCAAGTGTTTTCAGGGCAGCTTTCACTTTACTAATATTGCAAGCTCTCCCTCATAGGATTCCTCTTTGAAGGTGTCTAAGCCTTTCTTCTCTTCTGTATAGTTCTTCTGTATATTGTTTCCACCTTCTCCTTATTTCCTCTATGTTAAATAGTGTTTGTTAGCCTTGAATTTCCCTTTGATTTCTTGAACCTTCTGGAAGAATTGTCTAATTTTTCCTGTTTTCCTGTTCTATTTCTTTGCACTGACCATTGTAATAAGTGTCTTTTTGCTTTGGGGGGGTTTTTTTTGGTCTCTACATAGTAGTCACTGAAAAGTTGCATTCAGGTTTCCAACTCTATTTCTACCACCTTTTTCTTTTGCTTCTCTCCTGTCCTTCACAACTGTGTTTCTTCTTTCATCCATCTAAATGGGGGGGGGGGGGGCATTGCTACAGGAATTGCTTTTTAGCATTCCTCCACAATAATGTCTCTGGTTTTGGTCCATGGTTCTTCTGGTTCACGATCAATTAAGTTAAGTAACACAAATCTGTTACTCTGTTTCTGTTGATTATCTTTTTATTTATTTAAAGTTTTTTTGTATATCATCCCCTTATCCCCTTGCTAAATAGCCTCAGGACGGCTCACAGAAATAAATATAATATAATACAATTAAAACCCAGAAACACCCTGGCTGCACAATTAAAACCTATAAATATTAGACATTGTTAAAATATTGTTTGAATAAAAAGGTCTTAGCCTGGTGCTGAAAAACAAATAACGACGGGGCCAGGTGGACCTTTCTGGGGAGTGCATTCCACAGATAAGACACCACCGCAGAGAAAGCCCTCCTCCGGGTACTTTGCTTCCTGATGTCTCTCACGAAGGACTCCCGGAGGAGAGCCTCTGCTGCCAATCTCAAGGGGCGGGAGGGCAAATATGGATGCAGGTGTTCCTTTAGGTATCCAGGTCCCAAGCTGTTAAGGACTTTATAGGTGATTACCAGCACCTTGAATTTTGCCCAGACTTAGATGGGAAGCCAGTGAAGCTGGTAGAGGACTGGGGTTATATGAGAATAACGCCCAGTCCCCATCAGCAACCTGGCTGCTCTGTTTTGCACCATCTGAAGTATCTGGACTGTCTTCAAGGGCAGTCCCACGTAGAGCGTGCTACTAACTGGGAAGTAACCAATGCATGCGTCACTGTCACTAGACAGTCGTCCTCCAGGTAGGGACGCAGCTGATGGATTAGCCGAAGCTAATGGAAAGCACTCCTTGCCACCGCCATCACTTGAGCTTCCAAAGACAGCTCTGGGTCGAGGAGCACTCCCAAGCTGCGGACCCTGTCCTTTAGAGGGAGTGCAACCTCATTCAGGACAAGATCCAAATCACCTACCAAGGAGTTTGAACCACCCACCAGCAGGACCTCCATCTTGTCTGGATTGAGCTTCAGTTTATTGGCCTTCATCCAGCACAGTACCTCGGCCAGGCACCGGTTCAGTACAGCCACTGCCTCACCTGGATTGGTTGAAAAAGAGAGGTAGAGCTGGGTATCATCAGCGTACTGATGATTCCGCAGTCTACACCTCCTGATGACCTCTCCCAGCGGTTTCATGTAGATGTTGAATAGCAAGGGGGACAAAATGGACCCCTGCGGTACTCCATGGCATAGCTGCCATCTACCTACGCTCCTCCACCTATGCTCTAGACATCTCCCAACCCGCTTGATCGCCCGTAATTCAGGTGTGTACCAAGGGGATGAACGGGCTCTGCCCGGCGGGAGAGGATGCTTAGGAGCGATCGTGTCAATAGCTCTGGCCATTTCCCTATTCCACAGTTCAACCAGAGCATCAACAGGAGCGCAAACTTTATCAACCAGAAACCCCCAGAGCTTTCAGGAATCCATCCAGATCCATCTGGCTTCGAGGGCGGATGAACACAATAGGGTCCACACCCTTACAGAGGGAGAGGCTGCCATCGAGCTCAAACCTCACAAGGAAGTGGTCTGACCATGACAGGGGAATCAGACACAAATTCCTCACCCTCAGATCACCCTCTTCCTGCCCCATCAAGAAAACCAGGTCCAGTGTGTGTCCACGTTCATGGGTCGGGCCAATGACATGTTGAGACAGCCCCATGGCTGTCATGGAGGCCATGAAGTCCTGAGCTGCCCCGGACAGAACAGTCTCGGCATGGAGATTGAAGTTCTCCAGGACCAACATCCTGGGGGTCTTCAACACCAGGTCCAAGACGATCTCCATCAACTCAGGCAGGGAGTCTGATGGGAAGAAGGGTGCATGGTACAACAGCAGGATCCCCAATCTGTCTTGGTCGCCCAGCACCAGGTAGAGGCACTCTAGACCCAGTCTCGAGAGGACAGGAAGCCCCGCAAGAGAAATAGAAGCTTGATAATTAAAGCGACCCCCCTCCCCTCCCCTCCCCTCCCCTCCAGGTGTGGCTGATGCTGAACCAGATACCCGGGTGGACACAGTTGAGAGAGGGACATGTCCCCCTCATCTCCTGCCCAGGTCTCTGTGATGCAAGCCAGGTCAGCCCCCTCATCCACAATCAGTTTGTGGATGAGGGATGTTTTATTATGGACCGACCTGGCATTAAGTAGCAGCACCATCAGGCCCGAGGAGCAGTTGAGAAGCATACCCGGAACCTTCCGACTGGGGGAATAACCAGAAGGGGGAACAGGTGTCAACCATCTGTCCCTCCTTCTTCTATGCCGACCCATTAAACCCCCAATGCCATAACGACCATTGCCCATGACCACCCCAATGGCGGTGCCCACGCACTCCCCAGGCAACCCCATGGAAGCAGCCAGGTGTGAATCCATTAAAACAAACAGAATAAAATCACATAAAAACAATTAAAAACAATAAAACCCTGCAACCACCTGATCACAGAAGCCCACCCACAAAGTCCATGGCCAGTCCAGCCCCTGCACTGCCCCAAATGGCATCACTGCCCTTAGGCCGTCGCCCTTCGGCCGCCGGCCCGAGGCCACCAGCCCTGCTTGCTGCCAGTGAGTTAAAGGCCGCGGCCCCTCCCCCCGTGCCCCACCCCCTGCCCCCAGGCTGGCGCAGCTCTCACCCACGCCAGGGGGGGTCAGGAGCAGAGGGAGCTTGATTCAGATTTTTTAGCTTGATTCTGATTTTTTATTAAGAGTTCAGGGTCACTACCACAATCTGCTCCAGGTCTTGTTTTGGCAGCAAGAATGCAGCTTCTGCAACTTCTGCTGCCAGTTATTTAAGTCTGTTTGATTTCTGTATTGACCACCTGAAGTATTTGCATGGAAAAGATCATTGGCTTCACAAAATTCTGTGAGTCATTCTCCTGCTTTGTATCTTGTCCCTAGGCAAAATTCTTCCACAATGTTTGATTCTGCTTGTTTCATGCTTTAGTGTCCCAGGTTCCTAGGATTAGCAGCATGACTTGTTTTGGTGTGTGATCAATTTCCTCTCGAATACCCATAAAAGTTGTTCCTTGCTCTAAAAGAACTCACTGAAAGTGCTATCTAGACATAGGAATCAAACTAGAGTCATGAAATTGTCTCAAGTACCATAAAGAACCAAGAATAGGGAATGACTGGCACAGAATAAATGCTTCAGTATATTGCAGCCTAAATGAATCTGATGCTAGATATGGGCTCTGTTTCACCTTCCCATGTTTCATGGGATACTCACTTACTTGAGCCATTTAAAATGTGTTGCAAATCAGTGGCATTGACTGGGAACCACCTGCTAACACATGAGCCCTTGTTTATGCCTCCTGACTTGGCAAGGATTATTTAAGAACAAATTGGGTTTTAGATAAAAAAATAAAAGGCTTTATATCTCTCTGCAGGTTCAATACCAGAGACTTTTGCTAATGATGCTTGTTCTGGGAATTGGTGGATCACTCCAGCTTGGCTTTCAAGGATCTATGATCACCTATACATCTCTGGTAAACAGCAATGGAATTTTATTTTTATTAACTTTTTGTAGGTGTGGCTGTAAGAGACACTCAGACAAAATGTTCCTCCAAGACATCACCAACGTTGTTGCATTCTGAAAAGGAGCTGTGCTCAGGCTGTCCCTCAACTGCTTTGGCCAAGCATAGCATTGTTCAAGCCAGTTTAATTTCAGCTCACAGCACTACTGGGCACGTGACCGCTAGAATCTTACAGGCAAATGTTTGTATTGTCTGTCCTTTCTCCTGTTAGTCTGGCTGCTGCTTTGCCATTTGCACACCTCTTCAAGGTTGTACCTATAGCTCTCTGGAAAAAAATGCATCTAACTAACCACATGTCCTTTCCCCCCCAGCATGTTAAAACATTTATCAATGACACCTGGATGGACTGCTCTGGCCTTCCTGTTCACCCTGAAACCCTCACTTTGCTGTGGTCCTTGATTGTGTCTGCTTTTGGTTTCGGAGGATTCCTGGGCTCCATGGCCAGTGGACAGCTGACTGCAAAATATGGAAAGTATGTCTAAAAGAAAGCTCCTAATGGAAATTATTTCAGCAACTAGAGTGAGAATTTGGTGCCCACAGCATGTGGTTATTGCATCTCCCTGAACGAGCCAAGGCTGCCAACGAACCAGATATTTACATCTCTCATCAGTATGCCCAGGCTGTTCATTTTTCTCAACCAAAAACTTGGGGAGATTTCAGCAGAGTCACTGTGTTTGTCGGTGCCCTTGAGCCCATGGTACAGACTTACCGACTGGGGCTTGTACCAGCATGTTGGGATGGAGAACCTCTTTCAGAATTTCATTTCAGAGAAGCTGGGGTGAGCAGGGCTAATGGAAAAAAAGAGTTAGGCCAAAAAGCAAAATACCAGTGTATTGCAACTATCTGCTATTAGGAGTATTCACTAAGTTAACGAAACCTCAGGGGAGGCATTTCTAGCTTTTAGAATGGAAGAAAACTAAGCCATGATTTATGGTTGAAGAAAAGGGGGCGTGGCTTTCTGCAGGATCTGTACCCCTGCTGTGTGTGTACTGAATTGCACGTGAAAACCCACTTTTAAAAAGAAGCCCACTAGGTCAGGTGGCTATGCCCACCTTCTTCTCTTGACAGTACAGCATTTTCTACCATCCTAGGTAGTGGCAGCGGTGAGGCACAGGGTATTAACAAGAGCTTTGAGCTTGTGTGGAACGAGCTCTTGGTGGGAATCCGGTTCTGTATTTAGTTACATGCAGAGCTAAGCACTAAACAGTGGATTTGGTTAAGAGGGTGTGGCTTGCACCTGGATCTATTGGAATCCACAAAGAGAGGCTTTTCAACAAAAGTAAAAAAGCATACTTATAAGCAATACATGTGTGACTGCATGAAGAAGAAATGTTGGTATCTTTGTGCAGGATATCATGGTTCATTTTTAGCTGGTTAGTTTAGAAGGGGAGAGAAGGACCATGGGAAATTCTGGGACAAATAATAAAGAAGTCAGTGAGTAAGCACCTAATTACTAGAAGCCAGCATACGTTTTTCAAGAACCAATCTTGCCAGACTAATCTGATTTCGATTGGGTAAACTCCCTTGTGGACTGTGAGAATGCCATGGACATAATATTTATTTATTTATTTTATTTATTAAAACATTTTTATGCCTCCCCATTCACAGAAGCCTCGGGGCGGCTTACAACAAATAAGTTAAATAACATTTTAAAATATATACATTAAAATAAATTACGAATATACAATATAAAATAAGCCGCCCTGGCCAGAAAAATTCAATAAGATTAACATTTAAAATGACGTTTGAATAAAAAGGTCTTTGCCTGGCGCTGAAAAACAAATAACGACGGGGCCTGGCGGACCTCTCTGGGGAGCGCATTCCATAGATTGGGTGCCACCACTGAGAAAGCCCTCCTCCGAGTAGCCACCCTCCTAATTTCTTTCACGGAGGGCTCCCAGAGAAGGGCCTCTCCCGCAGATCTCAGGGGGCATCTGGGCATATATGGATGTAAGCGCTCCTTCAGGTAACCAGGACCCAAGCCGTTTAGGGCTTTATAGGTCATCACCAACACCTTGAATTGGGCCCGGACTTCAATGGGAAGCCAGTGAAGCTGACGGAGAACTGGAGTCATGTGAACATAACATCCAGTCCCCGTCAGCAACCTGGCAGCTCCATTTTGAACCAATTGAAGTATCCGGACTGTCTTCAAGGGTAGCCCCACGTAAAGCGCGTTACAGAAGTCTAGGCGGGAAGTCACCAGCGCGTGTGTCACCATCGCCAGGCAGTCGTACTCCAGGTAGGGGCGCAGCTGATAAATCAGCCGAAGCTGGAGGAAAGCGCTCCTCACCGCTGCTGTTACTTGAGCTTCCAATGAAAGCTCAGGGTCGAGGAGCACTCCCAAGCTGCGGACCTTGCCCCTAAGAGGGAGTGCAACCCCGTTCAGGACAAGGTTCAATTCACCCTCTCTGAAGCTGGCTCCGCCAACCAACAGGACCTCCATCTTGTCTGGATTGAGCTTCAGTTTATTGGCCCTCATCCAGCCCATTACCTCGGCCAGGCACTGGTTCAGTACAGCCACTGCCTCACCTGGATTGGTGGAAAACGAGAGGTAGAGCTGGGTATCATCAGCGTACTGATGGTTCCGCAGCCCACACCTCCTGATGACCTCTCCCAGCGGTTTCATGTAGATGTTGAATAGCAAGGGGGACAAAATGGACCCCTGCGGTACCCCATGGCATAGCTGCCATGGCGCAGAGCCATAGTCCCCCAGCACCACCTTCTGGAACCGGCCGTTGAGATAGGAGTGGAACCACTGCAAAGCAGTGCCTCCGACCCCCAATCCCGCAAGCCTATCCAGAAGGATACCATGGTCGATGGTATCGAAAGCTGCTGAGAGGTCCAGGAGAACCAACAGGGACGCACTCCCCCTGTCCTTCTCCCTGCACAGGTCATTGTACAGGGCGACCAAGGCAGATTCAGTACCGTACCCGGGTCTGAAGCCGGACTGCAATGGGTCCAGATAATCAGTTTCATCCAAGAGTGCTTGGAGTTGTCCCGCCACCACCCGCTCTAACACCTTGCCCAGAAACGGGATGTTGGCCACTGGTCTATAATTAGTGGCCAACTCTGGATCCAGTGACGCCTTCTTCAGGACCGGTTGGACTACCGCCTCCTTTAAAGGGGCAGGCACCCGACCCTCCCTCAGAGAAGCGTTAACCACTTCCAAGATCCAGGTTCCAATCCCGTGCTTGGAATCATTTATTAACCAAGACGGGCAAGGGTCCAATAGGCAAGTGGTGGGACGTACTCACCCAAGCACCTTGTCCACATCATCGGGCCGCAGTAACTGAAATTCATCCAATAAATTTGGACCAGATGGCAGTGTTGGTGTCTCCTTTGAAACCTCTGAATCAATAGTGGTATCCAGCTCGTGACGAATCTGAGCGATTTTCTCCCTAAAATGCCTGGCAAAGTCGTCACAGCGGGCCTTTGAGGGTGGGATCAAATCTTCTTTCGGACCTGGGCGAACCAGGCCTTGCACCACTCGAAAGAGCTCCTCCGGACGCATTGTGAGGAGGCAATGGAAGCGGAAAAAAATCTCTTTTTCGCTGCCCTCACCGCCACAGCATAGGCCCGATAGTGGGCTCTTAAGTGTGTTCGGTCAGATTCATCACGTGATTTCCTGCACCTACGCTCCAGCTGTCTCCCAACCTGCTTCATCGCCCTCAATTCAGGAGTATACCAAGGGGAAGAGCGGGCTCTGTCCGTTGGGAGAGGACACTTAGGAGCGATCGTGTCTACAGCCCTGGTCATCTCCCCATTCCACAGTTCGACCAGAGCCTCGACAGGAGCACCCGTCTTGCCAGCCGGAAATTCCCCCAGGGCCTTCAGGAATCCTTCCGGATCCATCCGGATCCGGGGGTGGACCCACACAATCGGGTCCACACCCTTGCAGAGGGAGAAGTCGCTCTCGAGCACAAACCTCACCAGGAAGTGATCTGACCATGACAGGGGAGTCAAGCATAAATTACTCACCCTTAGACCACCCTCTTCCTGCCCCATAGAGAAAACCAGGTCCAGAGTGTGTCCACCTTCATGGGTCGGGCCGGTGACATGTTGAGACAGCCCCATGGCCATCATGGAGGCCATGAAGTCCTGAGCCACCCCAGTCAGACTAGCCTCGGCATGGAGATTGAAGTCCCCCAGGACCAACATCCTGGGGGTCCTCAACACCAGGTCCGAGACGGTCTCCGTCAGCTCAGGCAGGGAGACTGTTGGGCAGAAGGGTGCACGGTACACCAACAGAATCCCCAATCTGTCTCAGTCGCCCAACACCAAGTAGAGACACTCCAGCCCTGGTCCCGAAGGGACAGGAAGTCCCGTGAGATGGATGGAGGCTCGGTAAACCAAAGTGACCCCCCCTCCCCTCCGGCCGTGAGCAGTGCTGGACCAGATACCCGGGCAGACACAATTGGGAGAGGGCAACATCCCCCCCCTCTCCCGCCCAGGTCTCCATTATGCAAGCCAGGTCGGCCCCCTCATCCAGAATCAGGTCATGGATGAGGGCAGATTTGTTATTGACTGACCTGGCATTAAGCAACAGCACTGTCAGGCCCAAGGGGTGACTGACAAGACTCCCTGGCACCCTTTGGCTGGGAGCAAAACCAGAAGTAGGGACAGGTGTCAGCCATCTGTCCCTCCTTCTTCTATGCGGACATATTAAGCTCCCACCGCTGTTACATCCATTGCCCAAGACCACCCCAATGGCGGCACCGGTGCGCTCCCCAGGAAACTTAAGCGGCAACATGGCCAGGGACGACTCCATAAAACAGTTAAAATACTATAAAATTATAAAAACAGTTAAAAAAAAACCCAGCCCAGCAGGAGGGCCTAACACCGCCAAGCGAAAGCCCCCTGGCCAGCCCAGCCCCCCGCTCGGCCACCCAAACGGCCACCCAAACGGCAGCGACCGCCCTTTGGCCACCAGCCCGAGGCCGCCCCGCCTCGTCCGGCGCACGCCTGCCACGCATGCAGGGGCGTGGCAGAGCAGCCAGGTGGGCGGTGGATGGCGGTGCGGCACAGTCTCTCGCGGCGAAGGCAGCAGCTCCCCTCCGTCGTAGGCTGCCGGGCGCAGTTGTTGTTCTGATGTGGACAAGGTGATACTGATGTGGACAAGGTGTTTTACTCTGCTTGTCCTACCAACTGTCCACTTGACCCTTGCCCATCATAAGATGGATGAAGAGATGTAAGCTGCCTTGAGCCCTTTGTAGGAAAAAGGCAGGATATAAATTGAAAAATAAATAAATAAATAAATAAAATCACTGGAAAATCAAAGGAGAGGGTTCACCCTTGGGTCCAGGAGGTTGTTCATCCCTAGAGAGAAGAGGTAGTCTCAGCCTCCTTAAAAGAGGTTGTGATAAGACTGCTCTTAAAGAAGTCAGATCCAGGAATGGTTGCCACCTGCTGACTGGTAGTGAGCCTTCCATTCTGGGAAAGATGTTGGAGCAGGTGGTGGCCAGCCACTCTTGG